GTATGAGCCATCACATGCAGCTAGAAAAGAGAACTCTTATATATTGTTGGTGGGAATGTAAATTAGTACAGACATTATGAAAAACAGTATGATGATTTCTTTAAAAACTAAAAATAGAACTACTATATGGTCCAGCAATCACACTATTGAGAATTTACCCAAAAGAAAGGAAATCATTATATTAAAAGGATGCTAGCACCCTCGTGTTTAACTGGAGCATTATTCATGATAGCAAAGATATAGAATCAACCTAAGTGTCCATCAACAGGTAAATGGATAAAGAAAATGTGGTACCTCATAAGTGGACCTTGAACAATTGTCATAATACTACAAGAAAGGGATTGGCAGTAGTGGGAAACTGCTGGGGGGAAGGAGGGGTGGGACTGGCAGTAGTGGGAGACTGCCAGGGGAGAGGGGGGCACACTTCATCAACAAGGGTACCTGCATAATGAACATTTATAAACCTAACCCTGAATTGTACCCCACATCTTTAAAATAAAAAAATTTTTAAAAAGAAAATGTGGTACATATACGCAATGAAATACTTGGTCATAAAAAATAATAAAATCTTGTCATTTGCAGCTACTGTATGGAACTGGAGATCATTATGTTAAGTAAAATAAGCTAGGCACAGAAAGACAACTATTGCACATTCTCAATCATATAGGGGAGCTATAAAAGTTGATCTTGTGGAGGTAAAGAGTAGAATGATAGTTACCAGAGGCTGAAAAGGGTATACATGAAGAAGTAATGAAGAAAGGTTAGTTAATGGACGAAAACATACAATTAAATAGAAGAAATAAGTTCCAAAGTTCGATACCAGAGTAGGGTGACTACAGTTAACAACAATATATTACATATTTCAAAACAGCAAGAAGAGAGGATTTGAAGTTTTCCCAACACATAAAAGAATGCAGTGGCATGATCATGGCTCACCACAGTCTCAGCTCCTGGGCTTGAGCAATAATCCTGTCTCAGGCTCCCAAGTAGCTGGGAATACAGTTGTGTACCACCCACGGCTGACTAATTTTTTTTTGCTTTGTTTTTGGTAGAGACGAGGTTTCACTATGTTGCCTAGGCTGGTCTCGAATTCTTGGTAATCAAATAAAGTAGGCCTGAAGGTTAAAAAAGCTATCACAGACAAAGAAGGTTACTGCAGAAGGTTCAGCTGACCAGAGAAGTTATGACAATTCCAAATCTGTACATACCTGATAATATAGTCACAAAATAGATAAAGCACAAAGTAAACACTGAAAGAACTACAAAATAAAACAGATCCATAAGTATAATGGAATCTGTAGGGAAAAAACAATTTGAATAAAAGCACATTTCTCATCAGAAACCATGGAAGCCAGAAGGAAATTGCAGAACACTCAAGTGCTGAAAGAAAAGAACTGTCAATTTAGAATTCTGAATCAAGCAACTATCCCTTCAAGAATGAAAGAGAAATAAAGACATACTCAGATGAAAAACAAAGAGAACTTGTTGCCACACAACCCTAAAAGGATGGCTAAAGGAAGTTCTCTAAACAGGAAGAATATGATTAAAAAGGAAGGAATCTTGAAAACAAGGAAGGAAAAAAGAACAAATGAAAGGCAAACATGTAGGTAAATACAATATACTTTCTTTCTCTTGCGGTTTCTAAGTTATGATTGATGATAACAGCAAAAATCCTACACCGTCTAATGCTGTTCTCAATATTGAAGGAAATATTGAAGATAATTATATATAGTGGAAGGTAAAGGGACATAAAGTAAGGTAAGATTTCTAAATTTCGCTCAAAATGGGAAGATGTCTAGTGGGGTAAAGACAGAGAAGGCAGATCTCACAAAGTTTTGGGAAGCCACATTTTTTTAAACTCTGCATTTTCAATTTTCTCCAGCTCTCAAAATCTGGCTTTTTAAAGGAGTCCAGTGATCATAGTTTTACTAAGACCACTAATGAACTCTCTCCTTGCTTGATTTTTATGCTGCATTTGATAATGTTGAATATTTTCTCCTTAAAATCATTCTGCTCTTGGCCAGGTGCAGTGGCTCATGCCTGTAGTCCCAGCACATGGGAAGGTGAAGGCCGAGAGATTCAAGACCAACCTGGACAACTTGGCAAGACCTCATCTCTAAAATAAATCAAAAAATTAGCCAGGCATGGTGGTACACAATCTGTGGTTCCAGCTACTTGGAAGGCTGAAGCAGTAGGAGGTTGGGGCTGCAGTAGCCATGAGTGTGTCACTGTTGCCCAGGCAACAGAGTGAGACTCTGACTAAAAAAAAAAAAAAAAAAAAAAAATCATTTCACTCTTGTTGGGGGAAACCAACTTAGTGAATACCTACATTTATGTATACTTTTTCTGAGTGTTATAGATTGACTTATACTTTCTACCTGTTCCTTATTTTTGTGCTTCTCAAAGTTTTGACCTCAAACTATATGCCCTGGAAATACCTGAGCCCCACTCCAGACCTACTGATTCAGAACCCCTGGAAAAGCTTTCCCAGGTGATTCGATTGTGAGAATTAATGTCTTAAATATTCTGTCTTGGTCCTCTTCTAACTCTACCCGTTACATATGCACAATTAAAACCATACCCAAAACTTCCACCACTTGCTGCTATCAACAAAATGTGAAAACTGCTCAATGCTACCCCCCACCCAAAGCACCTATAATCACACCTGCCACAAAGAATATTTGTTTGAGTGATCATGCCTCAAACCTGCTTTGTTAACCAAGACCTATCTTTTTAAGGTTCCAGATTTGCATGTGTAGCCATCCAATGGACATACGCTCTCGGATAAGTCCCAGAGTTACCACGAATCAGTTAGGATTAAGTTCCCCTAACAATGATAGAAAAACCTAAAAGAATCATACTTATATGATATAGAAGTCTGTTTCTCACAAATGACAGTCTGGAAACAGAAAAAAAAAAGTTAGTATGAAAGTTCTGCTCCACAAAGTTCTCAGGGACTCTGGCTCCTTCCTGCTTTCCACTCAGTCCACAGTGTCTAGAATATGGTTCCCATATCACACTCCAAGATGAAGCTCCAACCAAAACCACATTCCTAGCAGCAGGAGAAAAGCAGGAAGGAAGAGTGAAGGACACACTCATCTCTCTATAATACACTTTCTGGAAGCAGAACACGCAATCTGTACTTTTATCCTATCAACCAGGACTTAGTCTGTTAGGAGACTAAAAATGTAGTCTTTATGTTAGCCAGTCAATTGCATTACTAAGAAAAAAAACGGGGCCAGGAACAGTGGCTCACACCTGTAATCCCAGCACTTAGGGAGGCAGAAGCGGGAGGTTCATTTGAGCCCAGGAGTTTGAGACCAGCCTGGGCAACATAGCAAGTTCCTGTCTCTACAAAAAAAATTTTTTAATTAGCCAAGTGTGGTGGCACACACCTGTAGTCTCAGCAACTTGGGAGGCTGAGGAGGAGGACCACTTGAGCCCAGGAATTAGAGGCTGCAGTTAACCATGGTCATGCCACTGCATGCCAGTTTGAGCAACAGAGTGAGACCCTGATTCAAAAAAAGAAAAAATGGGAGAAGATATTCTTGGAGGACAATAGTATTCTCAGTCACACGTTCAGAACTCACTTTGTGCCCCAAACTGAACTAATCAATTTTCAGGATAAACTGTGCAATTTTACATCATTGCGATATGTTCACCCAATCTTTATCTCCATTCTGCTGGGAAAACTCCTTTTCCTCACTTAGTACTCACATCATGTGTCTTTTTGTGAAACTTTCTTTTACTCAACCACCCCCCCTCCAGCCCAGACTGGAAGTCTTTGGACTACCTCTGCATCTCTATTTTTGCATTGCTAATACCATACCCTTTTTTTTTTTTAAACAACTCTATCCCTCCATTCATCCCTCTTATAAGTTTTCTAAGGAAAACTTCTTGAGGACAGAGACTATGCTTTATTTATCCTAGGATCATATGCATATAGATCTGTATCATACTACATTTTACAAAATCAGCCATTAATATCTACTTCCCAGAGGTATAGAAACAGGGAACTGGTAAAAGTGGCACCTAAAAAAAAGAACATCATGGTATGTAGTACTGTAGTATAATAGAATCTTTTGTAATTTGGGACTTTAACACATCCTAACAGCAGTTACATGAATAACATGGCTATAAACTCTTAACCTAGCCACTGCCCTCCTTTACATGCCGTGCCTACTTATTTTCCACACCTTTCTTTTATTTTCTCATAAAAACAAATACATTTAGTGGGGTAAACTTTAAAGACGTTTGCATTTGATCCCACTACGTTTATATTAAACTCAGGCCAATGATTGGGTTCTATGCTTTAATCCCACTTAAGTCTCAGCAGTTACCCTATCATAAAAGGCAGGACAGGCATATCTAAGCCCTTGGAAAAGTAACCAAGGGGCTTCAACATTTTAATTATTTTTCTCTGAAAGAAAATATCTAGATGATCATAGCATTCCACTTAGGCAGTGGCGTTACAACTCATAAACACTACCATGACTAAAATAACATACTAATCTATAATGGCTTTCACAGAGTCAAAAATCTTCACTGTAAATTTTATTTAAGGCTATCAAAGTGTCAATTTAACTTAAAAATAGAACCAAAATCATGTGAAGCACATTTATAACAGTTATGCTTCATCTTTTGAAATATATCTTTGAGATATGAACAATTTGAGATATGAACCATATATAATGTTTAATTAAATATCAACTATAAAAGTAGCTGAGGATTCCACCCTCCCCAATGCATACAGCAACAAGACTTCAAAGGTTCAAATGTGACTTCTAGCTTTGCCCATATTCTCCAATTAGACTAGAACTCACACTACGATGCTGAGGCAGCCCTCAAGAGTTGTAATTGTGGCCTTCCATTATCTCCAGTTCTCTAGTCTGGACAATGCTTTGCTGCTCTCCAGTTACCAATGCTAACCACAATGCCACTACAGCAGTTACATCTAACTTTAATAAAATAAAATAGCATACAGTTAATTATGATCTTACCACTAGTTCCTGGTGGTTGTAATACATCTCCTGTCAGGTGACACCACCCAGCTGGGAAAATATCTCGAGAATCATACTTGCACCAATAATCAAAAGCTCCACTCCAGCCATCGAATGTTATGTATACTTCATCCCCTTTAACATTTCCAACAGTTGCAGGGCAGATTAAATACGGGTTTTTTCTATCAACAGCTTCCAGTTTCATCCCCACTTTAAAATTATTTAGGGGTGGCTTTGGCGGTTCCTATCAAAACATTAAAAAAAGATTTCATCGTTAAGATGTATTAAGAATCATTTACTCAAGTGTATTCTCTTACAACCCTCAGTAACCAAAAATTAAGCTTCATAATTATCAATTGATATAGAAAGAAAACGTTCTCACAGATATGAAACTCTGCACTCCAGGATCTCACTTTTATTCTGGAGCAGAGCCAAGAACCTGGAATGAAACAAAACCAACCTGATTCATTCAAGAAATATGTATTATCTACTATGTACTATACCAGGAATTTAAGATTCATTGGTTAACAAAAATATCAAAGATCCATGCTCTGGTGGAGCTTGCATTCTAGTGGTGGTGGTCCTAGTGGTTGGGAGCAGGGGAGAGTAATCAACAAGTAATTCTAGAAGAGGAAGACAGACAAACCTAATGAATATATAAATTATAGGGTGTGTTGAAAGGTGGTAAGTCCAAAGAAAAGAAGTAACAATAGATAATATCCTAAAAGAAACTCAAAGTGTAAAATGTAGACACAAAAATATATAAGCATACAATCTGGAATCATTCATAATATCCGAACAAAAACCAATATTAAAGTATTTGTTAGTTGCAAAAAAAGCATGTCAATACCAACAAGATTCTTAGAAAGCCCAAGTGTTATCTATGATTAAAAAAACAAACATATTTCAATTTGATTTTCATCCTAGTAAATGATACCATCACAGCAACACAGTCACCCAAGACAAAAGGCTGGAAATATATAGTCCCAGACCGGTGGTTTTCAGCTCTACTGAACATCAGAATCACCTGTGATCATACCAACAGCCATACTGATTGAATCAGTCTAGGGTAGGGCCCGGGTATCAGCATGTTTTAATTCCCCAGGTGATTCTAATGGGCTCTCAGACTTTCTGTAGCAAAGCAAACTCAGTTTAAATGGCAATATATATTTTCTGGTACAAAACAGAATTAAAAGACAGAAATGAGCAGAGAAATAGGACTAATTTTAAGAATCAAATATATAATCTACCCACTAAATGTCAGTAGCAGCTAATCCCTCTCCCAGTTGTGATGGATGACCAAACATGTCCCCAGACACTGCCATATGGGGGGGGCACATCCCCTTCCCAGTTGAGAACCACTGATGTAGATAAAGGAGAGAAGAGGACCAAAACACTCTCTCATGCCCTTTCACATCTAGGTTGCAGAGTATTATTTCACTACTTTCTTCTCAACACCCAAAATCAACTTATTCCCTTGTCCTTGCGCTGTTATCCCTAAATCTTAGTTCAAGATCACCATCCACTTCACCTATTTATACTTAGCTTCTGAGCACTGCTGAAGAAAAGTGGTACCACAAATTTTTACGCTTCATCTTTAGCTGAGCCCTCCAAAATATGGCCATGTATCCCTAAACCATTCCTTTTCCAATCCTATACAGCAGCTTTTCCAAACCTTTACTGTTCTCCTTAAGACTAATAAAAAGCATAGTGAGGATTATGCTTATTATTTTGTTAACTGACTTTCTCCCCAGTAAGACCACTGCCTAAGTGTTGGAACAGATGGATATTCAATCTACATACTAATCCTCCTCCAGCCTTCATCAGTTTCCTATTTTTCAGAAAGGAATTTGAGGTCTATTTACAGAAATAGTAAATTGAGGCCATCAGGAATTAACTCTACCAATATTCTGTTCCCAAAATTTCAAATTTATCTCTCTCTTAGGATATGTTCCACCTGGACCTTAGCTCTTGCTAATGTAACTGATGACTTTCTATCTAGCAAATAGTTAAAACTCATCTCTCCTCTTAACGGACCCCTCTTAAGTACATGATATGGGCCAGGCACTGAGTAATTCTGAGTTGCATTTGTGACTGTTAATCACTCCTTAATCCTTGCAACTCTTTGCTCCACAGGGTTCAGTGAGATCAGTTTATTCTGGTTTTCCTCCTCCCTCTACTTCTAGAGCTGCCCCTATCCCTTTACGCATTCCCATAAAAGTAGGTGGATATTTCTCAAGGCTCTAACCTTGATACACCTCTCTTTTCCTTTTATGCATTCCCTGGACATGCTTATTATGCTTAAGGCTTCCATTTGCTCATTATGCTTAAGGCTTCCATTCTATTTGCTAAAAGCTTCCAAATCCACAAGCCCAAGCCAAACTTTGTTTCTAAGTTCTAAACTCTTTATTTCTAATAAACTAGTAGTCATCCCTGCTTAAATTTCCCAGTCACCTCAACACATCCAAAACCAAACCCATCTATCTGCTCCTTCTTTATGTATCAATCTTCCCATACTCCCTATTCCTTCTTCATTCATTTAACAAACAGGTACCCAGAGACTAACACACATACAAAGGCATGTTAACTTCTCAAATGACACTCATAGTCTAGGAAGCAAGACAGTGAAAATATTAATGTAATTCAATACTTCAATACATACAAAGATTGAGATATGCACAAGATGCTACAGAAATGTAAGAATGGAGAAGGGGACAGAAATGGTGTCTTGAAGGGTTTAATGCCTGACTTGAATCTTTAAAAAGTAGGAGTTAACCAGGGAAAACCAGCATGAGTCAAAGCACAGCTCTAAATTGAACAGGGTATCTATAGGCTATTACAAACAATTTAGAACATAAAATTCAAAGCAGGGAGTGGCAGCCATAAACTAGATCACACAGGACTGAATAGGGCATATTAAGAAACTTACACTTCACCCTGAGTGTGACTGGAAATTTCAAAAGAGTTTTCAGCAAGAGAATAATGTGGAAAGGTTTTGTGTCAGATACACATTTTCAGCAGTTGTGTGGAAAGGCAAAGATTAGAGGCAGTTAAAAGGCAAGTATAACAGTCCCAGCAAGAGGAAAGCCTTATGAAATACGTCAAAATGGAGTTACTTATGCAAAACTCTAGTAAAATAGTCAGGAGACCATAAAGGAAGGGCTCTCACACACACATGCCTCTGATAAAAACTGTTATAGGGACTCTCTGAAAACAACCTTGCACAAGGGCCACCACAACTTTGCACAAAGACCTCTGCAACATGACACAAAGAATACACCTGTGAGGACATGTATGCAGCAAATGCCTGTTCAACCCTGGACACCACTCATTACTGATCTTTGTGGCCAAGGGTAATTGCTTCAAAACAACTTATACTCGGTGGCTCAGCCTGTAATCCCATGCCTTGGGAGGCTGAAGTGAGTGGATTGCCTCAGCCTGCGGGTTCGAGACCCGCCTGGGCAACTTGGTGAGACCTCATCTCTACAATCAATCAAAAATTAGCCAGACGTGGTAGCGCACGCCTGTAGTTCCAGCTACTTGGAAGACTGAGGCAGAAGGATCGCCGGAGCCCAGCAGGTCAAGGCTGAGGTGGCCGGGAGTGGCCACTGCACTCCAGTCTGGGCGACAGAGTGAAACTACAACTCAAAAAAAAAAAAAGAAACTTATATAACTTTTGTGGTTTTCCCTTACCGTAACCTCCCCAGATATGCCTATGATCCATCATAACACAAATATACTAGATTGCAAACACCTCTCATTCATTCCCAAATAAACTCATTATCTTTTTTTTAGAGAGTTTCTCTCTCTGTTGTTATTTTAGGTTGATAGCCTGCATAAGAAGAAATGGTGGTAAGGTTAGAAAAATGAGACAGAACAAAGAGATAATTATGAAGCTAAGTAGGTGGGCCTTCCTAATTAGTTGGTTGTCTAGAGGCAAGAGTCAAGGAGGAGTATGGATTTAAGATGGCCCCTGGCCAAGTTTCAAGCTTGGTTGAAAATGGAGCCCACAGATCAATAAAAAGAAAAGAAATCCAACAGGAAAACAGGCAAAGGCTATAAACAGGCCATTCACAGAAAAACAAAAAGCCATTAAACAAATTTTAAAAGCTCAATTCCTCTAGTAAACAATGCAATGCAAATTAGAACAATGGGACACCATCCCTATCTTTACCATCCTTCCCCGCAAAAGGATTCAGAAAAATCTCAAAGACGGATAATATTTGATGTTAGTGAAGGCATGGGGATACAAACATGTCTCTATGCTAATTGAGTATAGCATGGAACACCCTTTTTGGATATAATTTAACAGTATACATCAACACAACACAAATGTCAAGCAATTCTAGTTTCAAGAATGTAGCCATCGCATTTATACACAAAGCTCTTTATAAGAATGCTTACAGTAGAACTGATGTAAACAAGAATATGGAGATGACTTAATCCTTACAAAGGGGTTAAATCAATTTCAATAATCCATACTATAGAATAGCACAATACAACCTGAAACATATACAAAATGAAACAGAAGCTGGGTGCAGTGGATCATGCCTGTAACCCAAGGACCTTGGGAGGCCAAGGCAAGAGGATTGCCTGAGTCCAGGAGTTTGAGACCAGCCTGGGCAACTTGGCGAAAACTCATCTCTACAATAAATAAAATAATTAGTCAGGTGTGGTGGTGCATGCCTGTGGTTCTAGCTACTTGGAAGACTGAGGTGGAAGGATCATCTGAGCCTAGCAGGTCGAGGCTGTGGTGGCCATATGCACAACACTGCACTCTAGCCTGGGCAACAGAATGAGAGCCCAACTTAAAAAAAAAAAAAAAAATAGAAATATTTCCAAAACCTATCTATTTTAGGAGAAAAACAATATGTACAATATATTCCCATTTATGTTTAAGAAAATAAAAGCCCATATTTGTTTTTAAAAGTACACAAATAAAGGATCTGGAAGAACAAATAAAACTTCCATTTGGAAAGAAGAGTGACATGGGCCAGGCATGGTGGTTCACACTTGTAATCCTGGCACTTTGGGAGGTTGAGGCAGATGGACCAACCTAAGCGATGTAGTGAGACCTTGTCTCTACAAAAAAAAAACTACAAAATTAGCTGGATGTGGTGGCACGAGCCTGTAGTCTCAGCTATTGGCTTGAATTCAGGAGTTGGAGGTTGAGATGAGATGTGATCATGCCACTGTACTCCAGTCTTGGCAACAGATGGAGGGAGGGGGGTGGGGGGAGGAGGAGAGGAAGAAGAAGAGCGGCATGAAGGAACAGATAGGAAAAAGGAAGATACATGTTTCACTAGTTAAGAGTATAGTTTGTTTCCCCTGCCCCCCACACACAATTACTTTTATTATTTTAAAAATTAGAAGCATAATGTGTATGGCATGTGGCATGAGACTAGTTGATTAAACAATCTGATTAGTAAAATAGATCCAATAGCTTTTCTAAAACCACAGTCCAAGCTAACAGGTGTTCTCATTCTGTTTCCCAGGCTGGAGTGCAGTGGCAATCCCAGCTAACTGTAGCTTTGACCTCCAGGGCTTAGGCAATCCTTCCGCCTCAGCCTCCTGAGTAGCTGGCACTGCAGGTTTGCACCACCATGCCTGGCCAATTTTTTTATTTTTTATTTTTTTTTTGTAGAGATGAGGTCTCACTATGTTGCCCAGGATGGTCTTGAACTCCTGGGCTCAAAGGGTTCTCCCACCTCAGCCTCCCAAAATGCTGGGATTACAGACACGAACCACCATGTTAGGCCTCTGATGAATGTTTTTTAACATTCTTCACTTCTGAAGCCAAATCTCCCCAAGAAGCTTTCAAGTGTTTTTGTTTTATTTTTTTTTGGCCTGTCATCATTTTCTCTAATATCAAAGGGATGACTAACATAGTAAAGTGAGGGAGAGTTTCACTTCTGAAGACAAATAAAAAATGGCAGTAAATATTTACTTCTAGTAGAGTACTCCTTTCATATCTAAGATCCTAATGTCAAGAAAGAGGATACTAATTCAATTGGACTAGTGGGTGTTTATAATTGAGAGGTTTTTGCGACTTACTGTTATGGGCTCAACTGTGTCATTCCCAAAATTCGTATGTTGAAACTCTAACCTCCAGAATGTGACTGTATTTGGACACAGGGGTCTTAAAAGAGGTAATTAAGTTAAAATGAGGTCACTATGGTGGGTCCTAATCCAATATGACTGATGTCCTTATAAGAGGAAGAAATTAGGACACAAACATACAGAACATGTGAGAACACAAGGAAAAGATAGCCATCTACAAACCAAGGAGACAGGACTCAAAAGAAGTCAACTTTCATGACACCTTGATCTCAGACTGTAAGAAAATAAATTTCTGTTGTTTAAGCTACTATTATGGACTGACTCTAGTTTCTCTTCAGATCATATGCATCTTTCACCTTTTACTATTATGGACTGAGTTGCATCCTTTCAAAACTTATGTGTTGAAGCACTAACCGCCAATGTGTGTGTATTTGGAAATAGGGCCTTTAGGGTTAAGTGAGGTCATAGGGTGAGGCACTAATACGATGGTACTGATGACCATTTAAGAAGAGGAAGAGACACCAATGATGTGCACGGACAGAGAAAAGGCCATATAAGGACACAGCAAGAAGGCAGTCATCTGCAAGCTGAGGAGAAACCTCACCAGAAACCAACTCTGAGGGCACCTTGATCTTGGACTTCTAGCCCACAGAACTGTGAGAGAGTAAATTTCTGTTGTTTAAGCCACCCAATCTGTGGTACTTTGTTATGGCAACCTTATCAAACTAATACACTTGCCAATCCAGTAATTTAAAAAGCATTTTGGTTTTCCATGTTGGAGAAGACAAAGCATTTAAGCATTCACACTCAAACAATAAAATCATGGCCTAGTTGATGAAAACTTTTTAAAACATTTTTCTTACCTTCTTAAAAAAGGCTGCTGGTGCCATTTCAGATCCACTTAGAGTTCGAAGGAGAAACATTGGCCAAGATGACACATTCATCTGGTATCCTATTTTATAAAATAAATTAGATGTCATGAAAAAAACCTCCCTGTGATACTATAGAAAGCTGGCATTAAAAATGGGTGTCATTACCACTCTTCTCCAGAGAATGACTTTATTATCTAAGAACCTGGAACGTGTCTCCACTGTACTGTCTGGCAACAGTGCTACAGTAGTCATAGAAACTCTCATTTTAAGAGAAGCCACTGGCTAGGATTCACCAACAAACACATACATGTTGGAAATGGCCTATAATACTAGGGGTGAGCCAAGCTGGAGCCCAGGAGACCTTCCATACAAGCAGGAATAAAGGCTATAAAAGACTTTTAGCCCGCTTTTCCTTAAAGCTCCTGGCGTCTTTCATTTCAGAAAGACAATTTTCTGTCACAATCAGTAAATGTACACATACAATGATACATTTCATCATATGCAATTTTACCTCAAAAGAAAAAAACTATAAGTAAATACTTACTCTGGTTAATAATATACATGCTAAAGTACTTTAGAGGAAATACACTGACATCAAGAACTTACATTGAAATGCACTAAAAAATAAGATGGATTGATGAAGGGCAGATAGATGCACAGAAAAGTGATAAAGTAAATATAGTAAAAGGGTATTGGTAGAATCTAGATAGTGGGTATGTGGATACTCACTATAAAATTATTTCACCTTTTCTGTATGTTTGAAATTTTTCATAAACTATGATAAGAAAAAAGACATCTCTCTCTTTAGCAATCTTTATAAACACTAAACATTATCTTCTTTTAGAATATGTATCAGATGATATCAAAATAGACTCAACAGGTAACTTGTCTTTTTTTATTTCAAAGATGTGGGGTACAATTCAGGGTTAGTTACATAAGTGGTCATCGTACAGGTATTTTTTCTAGAGATCTCACCAACTAATGCTATCACAGTATTTAGCACATGCAGTACTAAGCAGGGGTCTGCGAGTTTTACTGCTTTCTGGGATAATCTGTTTCATGACCTACGTCAGCACCAAAACTGGAAAGAACTTAGCATGCACCTCCGATGGATACATGCATTAGGCTAGGGAGGCACACGAATCAATGGCAACAGTACATGTTTTGTCCTGTCACCCATCAAAAGGGTAAAAATATGCAAAAATGGTAAAACAAAGTCATCCTCTAATAATCCTGTACCAAAACTCCCTTAATCTGATTAGAAAAACAATTGTTGCTAGAAAAAAATAGGGGTAGAAGGGTAAGTTATATACTCCCTTATAATGAATCAACATTATTATTGATACCTAATAAATAGTTTCCCACTATTTATTAGATATCTCCAGCTTTCTATAGAGAATGCATAAAATCATTCTCTGGTCCTTATGCCTTTCTCTCAACTCCCATATCTTATCCTATTCCATCAGTACCAAGATTTTTCTATATGTAACATTTTTCTTAACTCTATAATTGCCTAAAGTCAAATATAGATTAAAAGATCAAAAATAGATTAAGGTACATATAAAAAGTTCAAAAACATATAAAATTAATCTATAATGTTAGGAAGTCTAGATGGTAGTCCCTTTAGGAAGGGAGAGGTTATGAGTGGGTATCAGGAGGACTAGGTCTTCTAGGGTACTGATAATGTTCTATTTCCTGATTTAGATGATGGTTAGACAGGTATATTCATTTATAATCTGAACACTTGTGATTTGTACACTTCTCAGTTTGTGTGTTAATATTTTAAAAACTCTTTTAAACAATGACCTTTAAAGTTTCAATAAATAGCTGGATGTGGTGGCTCATGTCTGTAATCCCAGCACTTTGGGAGGCAGAGGTAAGAGGACTGCCTGAGTCCAGGGGTTTGAGATAAGCCTGGGAAACTTGGCGAGCCCTTATCTCCACAATAAGTCAAAAAAATTAGCTGGGCGTGGTGGCGTATGCCTGCAGTTCCAGCTACCTGGAAGGCTGAAGCGGAAGGGTCGCCTGAGCCCAGTGGGCAGAGGCTACAGTTGCTGTGAGCATGCCACTGCATTCCAGCCTGGGCAACAAAGTGAGACTTCCACTCCAAAAAAAAAGTTTCAGTAAATAAATCTTTCTAAAAGGAAAACGAAATAAGCTATACTATATTAAAAAGGAAATTAAACTACTCAAAAGTATCTAAAAAGCAAATTGCCACCAACTGTATATTTTTATAGATACTGCCAAAATAGATACTAATCAGCACATATTGCTATGCACTTCATGTTTTTAAATAAAACAAACTCTAAAAGGCAATTTTTTTAAAAGAGTGACCATAAATCTAATTATGTATTTGAAATGCTGACAATTACAATAGCTGAACTTCCTGTACACAAAATGCAAAAACATATTATCATACTGCAAACAGAAATAAAATCCAAACAACAGGGAAGTACTAAGCTCAGGTTTGTACTAATCTCTCATACAGAATTCTATATACTTTAAGAAATATTACAATCCAAAAAATGTAAATGATATGAATACAGAACAGAAGGCAAAATTTTTTTTAAAACATGTCCTAAACCATCTTCTTGGAATAACATATCTCCAATTAGACTTTTAAAATATTTTAAACCAAATTAGTTATAATGAACAACTAAAACAAGTATTAAAAGATTGCTAAAAAGAGTGGCTATTGTTACTGTCTTAAATTTTTGGTTCTCAGGGAATTTTTTACTAATAGGAAACAAAAAAATCCATTTTTTCCATTGTACTTTTCAATAAGAAATATTCATTTTCAGCATTGTAAAGAAGAACCAAATAAAAACCAGTATCTATCATTCACTCAAAATGGTAGAATAGTGACCAAATAAATGAAATCACTTATTTTTTGACACAGTATCAGGGTATGTTTAAATTTTTAAAATAAATAGTTTTGCCCAAAATTAGAGTCACATCCTTTTTACCTTTTAAAAACTTGGCCAAAATTAAGCACCACATATCTTGTACCTTAAAACCTTTGCTAAAAGGTCCATCCTCTTCTACTTTTCAAAGACCTAAAGGTGTTAGTCCTACTCATCTCACTCTGATTTCTTCCCACCATAGGTGAAATGAAATTCTTGAGTATGAAACTGGAACCTAAATGTGGAATCATACACTTCCCCTATGCTCACCTCCATACCAAAAATGGCTCGGTGGACAGTTTCAAGAGAGGATATGACTTGTATCAAATGCTACAAACTTCTTCAGAAGGACTTCTGAATCTGCATGTGTAATCTAGTAAAGCTGTTTCTGACATTTCAAATTTGAAGACTTAGTATAAATTCTGCCCTGGAGTGGGGATCCTTCAGCACACATATGCCAAATGTGTACTTAAGTGAAACTCCACAGAAATGGTACTGAGCTCCTCTCTCATCATACATTCGCCACAGTAACCACCTGGTCATCTGCTTGCAAGAATTCCTAAGAAAAGAGATGTTAAAAGGCCACTTGGTACTATTTCTTTTGACTATCACATTAATAAGAGTATGTTATTTTTAAAACTGTTTATTCTTACCCAGTGGAGGTTGGAGCAAATCTCCTTCCTTTTCACATGTCCCAACTGGCTGTATGTCCGAGGAATCAACAAGCTTCCAAAAATCATTTCTATTGTCACTACCGTCCAGCCGTAAACGTAATCTGACCCCAGTACTTCCAACAACTGTGGCAATACATACTGAAGTAATATTGCGAGGGTCACGGGCTTCTAATTTCATACCAATTTTGAAGTCATTAGCTGGTGGAATCATAGACTATATATATAAATAAAATTTTGTTAAAATGAATCAACTATAAGAAAAGCCACATGGTCAGTTATGCTACCAGAATACCCAAGGAACACTTTAAGTAATAGTCACAACAGATGATAAGTGAAGTTAGAGCTATAAGGGTCAAGGAAAAGATCTCCAAACTCCTTGGCCTGACATGCAGCATAAAAGCACTCCCTGTTGCTGGTCTCACTCCTCTGCCCACTTCCAGGCAACCCAAATACAGTCTCTAAAATACACCCTGAATGGCTTTGTAAGGTAGGAATCTCATTAGGCCATTCTCCTTGAAATAAGCCAACTAGCATGTCACCATCGCCTATAATAAAGTCCAACTCCTCAGTATAGCTTAAACACTCCACACTTTCAACCTCATTCCCACATTATAGCCTCTATCCACCTTGTGTTCCAGCCATCCCACAGCATTCCTTAATGCTCAGATTCTTTCACACACATGTACCTTGGTTTTGGTGTTCTCTCTGTCTGAAACATCCTTTCTCTCATTCCAACCATCTTAAATAGTACCTCTTCTGTAAGCCCTCCTAGTTCAGAGTTATCATACTTTTCATCATTATTTATTTACATATCTGTCTTTCCCTTTAGATGGGCAATCATAAAGGCTTAGTACACCTGACATACAATTAGTTCTTAATGAATGAAAGCAAAAAGACCATTTGCCTCTCAAGTGCCACTAGCACAATTCCACTATCTCCTCACACTACCAGAACCTAACAATCACACAGACATCCTCCAACAAGTTAATGGTTTACATACATACATCTACAGAATGTTAGCATACCTGACGGAAGCACTCTGAAGGAGCACTTATAGATCCAGTATCTTTCAAATACTTGTCCCATTGGAAATCATCTGGAAAAAACACATATACAAAATAGTTTTTTTTAAATATACCCACTATGTGTATACTAACTTTCAGGAATAAAATGGGATTGAGTTTCACACCTCTTAAAAAAATACTTCAAGAGAATAGATACAAACTTCCTGACCTAGATTTGATTTCCAGCATGAAAATAAAACATAAGAAAACTTCCTGATAATAATGGCTCTGACATAAATTATAATTCAAATACTCTCAATGTGATGAGGACTAAAGCAGAGTGATTCTAAAAATGTGGACACTAGAAATAACTAAAGGAATTTTTATAGAGTAATAGCAAAGTCTATTCATCTGTCTCTAATATAAATTTATTCAAGAAATATGTTTTCACCATTTCATACCATTAATGTGAAGGTGTTTGTTAATCATGGGGAGCGAAAGGTATTTAGGTGTGTGGTCTAACAAAATTTCATCCCTGCAATACTTTATGGAAATAAAAAAAAAATCTGAGAAACAGAAGTTTCTCATAGAATATTAGATCTCCACTCAGAATGTCAAGAAGATGATGGACAAACAAAGCAATAAACCAGTCATCAGTACAGTCACTGATATGGATTATTTTAATGATCTACATTTTCTACAAACTCTTGCTATCCTTTCTTATTTGGTCTTCATGACATATTACAATGTTAAAGAAGATACACAAAGCAGAGTACATTACCTGGCTTGCACACTTCAATTCACTGTGTCAGCCAGAATCAAGACACTGAGAAAAAGGCTTGATAGTAGTACTATGTACCATGACGTTTTTTATGCTCTTGTTAAATTTTCTCACTACAAAAATGTTTAGTTTGACGGCTGTCTTTTCTGGAGGAATCGACATTATCAACTTCTTATATATCCTTTGAAAGATACTACACTTACACATTCCACCCAAAAAAAAACACAAAAGAAAACCAGAGTACTGATAAACATTTAACAATCAGCTCCCTAGAAAATACAACAAAAAGTCCAACTAGTAGTATTTTGCAGATTTCTGTGGTATAAATACTGCCACCATGGCTGACCGAAAAGTGCCAAGGTGAAGCTACCAACCATGAAGTTGGGAAGAGATGTGCACAATTGGCTCTGCCAAGCTCCAGTGCACCACCATTACATATGTCTATTATGCATTTATATGTATATGCATATTATATATGGTATTAAGCATGTCATTTGTAACAATAAATACAAGAGATTGTTTTGTTTTTTAAAAATACTGGATGATTCTACTTCCACATGATATAAAGCAAGTAGTACTATTGTGCTGAAAGTCATGCATCAGAAGGTCAAGAATATAGGCTTAAAAAAAAAAGAGCCTGGGCTTTGGAGTCAGACCAGCCTGTTTCCAGTATGACTCTACCTCTTATTGGCTGTGACCCTGAGCAAGTAAATTCACCTTCTCAGCCTCGGTTTCTTCATCTATAAAATGGGGAAAGTAATGTATATGGTACTATGTATTTTGAGATTTAAATAAAGTAGCATACATGTAAGTCATTCAATAAATGGCATATTATAAACTAAATGTCATAGTTGTACCCAAATTTTTGAATACTAGATAACTTTGTCAAAAGTGAAAATTGAGGTCCATGGCTCCAAAATTAAACTGGCCAGATGTTTTAGTGACTCTCCTCAACACTAACCTGGAGGAAGGTTAGTGCTGACAATAAGGAGACCCAAGATTCTAACTGAAGTTCTATCATCAAATAATCTTAGAGTATTTAATCATTTCACATTTATATTACCAAAGAACCAACATTCTTCCATAACCCAGTGAGATTTGTAAAACTTTTCAATGACATTGGAAAATCCCTAAAGCATCTCCCTAACACAAATTTTTTAAAATATTCTATCACCATTTGTATCCGAATGGGCTATAATTTGAGCTAGCAAATCATTTACACTAGTGCTCTGTAATCTGATCACTTTATACCAAATTGCTAGCTAATAACCACATGCAACATTTGCCATTTAGAGGCTTAATTTTTTCTTCTTTCACAAAGCAAAATCTTTAGTCTGCCTTGAAAAAACTGTTCATCTTGGCTGCCCATTTGCTGAGACTCTACCAATAACGTAAGAAAAACACATACAGCTCCAGGCTTTACTAATTTAGACTTGACACATCTACATCAATATCATAGATGGAATCCCCAACCAGAAGTCAAAATAGCCATAAGTCTAAGCTAAGCCTGAGGTCCCAGTATGCCTCTGCATCATGTCCTCATAGCAAAAATGGGGGCAGGAAGTGGGACAGTCTCTCAGAAAAGAAGTCTGGGAACTGATAGGTCCCAGGTGTACAAACATAACTTTGTGATCTAATTGTTATTTGCACATGTCTACGGTCCCTATTCTTGTTTGACTTGCACATTATTCTAGTCCATACATTAACTACAACACCATTTGGCACTGAATATAATCTATTTAAATCCCCCCACTCCACCCCCAGGTCTTCTCCATAGTAAATCAGAATCATGTCTTTCACCAGTGCTAGACTTGGGTTCACAAACTACATGAAGAGGGCAAAATGTCTGGAGCTAGAAGCTTCTCAGCTGAATGATCAGCACCCACTACTTCACAACATTTATCAACAGTAATTAGGCATTTGTTTAATGTCTATCTTGCCCCCTAAGCTCAAAGAAGGCAGAAATCATGTCTGTCTTGTTCATGACTAAATTCCCATAGTAGGTCATCAGTATGTGCCAGGCACTTCCTATGTACTAAGAATGCATCACTTAATAAACCAGATTAAAAAAACAAAACAAAACAAAACTTTGGCTCTCTTGGAGCTTACCTTCTAGCACTCAATGATTTCTAAAATGAGATGCTAGAGTCCAGGACCTGAGAAATATCTGCAGATGGCTGTCAATTTGATTAAGTAATCTCATTTTTTTTTTTGAGTTGGAGTCTCACTCTGTCACCCAGACTGGAGTGCAGTGGCTGCTCCCGGCCATTGCAACCTCGACCTGCTGGGCTCTGGCGATCCTTCTGCCTCAGCCTTCCAAATAGCTGGAACTACAGGCATGTGTTACCACGCCCGGCTAATTTTTGATTTATTGTAGAGACGAGGTCTTGCCAAGTTGCCCAGGCAGGTCTCGAACCCGCGGGTTCAGGCAATCCACTCACCTCAGCCTCCCAAAGGCGCAGGATTATAGGCTGAGCCACCAAGCCCGGTTCATTTTTTAAATCAAAAGTTTGAGAATTTTGCATAGTTACTAGCATTTTACCTTTAAGAATATACTTTCTAAAACTTATTTTTTTAATTTTTTTAAAAAGCCCTTTTGCACTGACTCTAATGTTAGAAGGGTTTTTAATAATAATCTAATTATTTTAAATTGGTAATACATGGTAATTAATAACTAGATACTTACAATTTGTCAAAATTTGCACTGAAATACACAAAGTTGCCTTTTTTGAAACTTAATCCATGCCAATTTTCTTAAACAAAACCAAAGTAAAATTTTCAAAATAAAATACAATTTTAACCATTTTTATTGCTTATATTTTATATTTACAGACGTTTATTGTATATAGGCTATACCAAAAACAGTAAGAGTTCATTTTAACACTGAATGAGAAAGAAAACTACGTTGTGTTAAACTACTTTAAAACCTACCACTTTGCACAGAAGATGTGCCTGACTGAGTTTTCTCCTGAGTCTCCTTCTTGACATCCATGGAATCTAATAAAAAAGAAAATAGTCAGCAATCCTGGGAGGCTACAGCAATAGTTTGAAAGATCACTTCAAAAAACTATAAAATAAAACTATTTTAAATAGGAGCCAGTTTAATTTTATAATTTTATTCTCATTTTCTATATATAACTTATCATTTTCTAATACTATGCACTTTATAATGTGCTCATTTACTTTATCATGTGCCTCACTCTACTCAAATGAAATCTCCAAAAGGGCAGGAATTTATTTTTGTCTGTCTTGTTCACTGCTGTAACCTCAAGTGCTTGGAACAGAACTTGGCAGGCAAAACACCCTCAAGCACCTGTTTAATGAATACACTAATAAACCAAAATGAGCTGATCCTTACAATGTTTAAATTAACATACCTTAGAAATAAAATGGATGCTTTTGAGAGTTCAAAACATAACAGGGACGCTAGACTACAATGTAGTTAAATGAACTAGGTAGAGTTTTTCTCGGTGCTAAGCTAAAGAGCTCAAATAATGCTGGACCTTGTAATCTCTCCAATTCAAAGATACATAATTTCATCCACATATGTTACAGTATGTAGCTCTAAAAGGACTCATTTTTTAAAAACTTAAGCATATTTGTATTAACCATATTTCTTTAATATAATCAAATAACCAGTCAGGTTCATATTTCCCAATTATTTTAATTATTTAAGTGTGTCTGTTTGAATCAGGACCCAAATAAAGTCCACACATAGCTATGGTTGATATGTCTATGTCTCTTTTGATCTATCGGCTCCTCCTCCTTATCTTGTGTTTTTTTTTTCCTTTCCCCTACAATTTTTTTTTTTTTTTTTTTGGCTGATAATACCAGTTGGTTGGTCTTTTAGGGTTTTCCAGCCTGGATTTTGCTGACTGCCTCTCCACAGTGTTGAGTTCCTCTGGCCCTGTATCTTCTCTAAATTGGTATTAGTACTTCAATCCAGAGTTTCGTCAGTCTCAAGTTTGGCTTCTTTCAAAGAAGATAAAATGACTTCATAAGTAGTGATGTCTACAGGAGGCTCCTAATATCTCGTTATCGCTCTTTCTGTGATGTGAACAGTCATAGATGGCTATTGCCTGGATCCATCAGTTTATCAGTGGCTATGAAATGAAGGTATTCTAATTCTCACTCTTCCTTATCCAGAAAACTTCTATAGAGAGAAAACTCCTCTTATGGCCATTCAGTTACCCTCAGGTACAGATCACACAGGGAAGTAACAATCGGTGCTTTACTCTTTTATTTTCTAGTTTTCAAAATGAGTTGGATCTCTAGCATTCTCCACAGATGACCAATAAGTTTTAATTGTTTTATTTTTTAGTATCATTATGAACTCATGGATTTAAACATACTTGGTGTGATCCTTCTGTTGCTGCTTTGCTCATATTTCCCATGCTATAATTGTCAAGGGACAAGCTTCTTAAAGAAGGACCTAAGAATGATGCCATTCAAAGTAACAAGTCTACTTACTAGTTATGACTGAGTGACTCTCAAAATATGTGAACACTTGAGAAGGATATGTGAACTGCTTTCTGTTTAAATGATTTGGCTGATACAAAGAAAGTACACATTTACTGGCCGGGCTCAGTGGCTCAGCCTGTGATCCCAGTGCTTTGGGAGGCCGAGGCGAGTGGATTGCCTGAGCCCGAGGGTTCGAGACCTGGGCAACTTGGTCTCGCCTGGGCAACTTGGCGAGACCTTGTCTCTACAATAAATCAAAAATTAGCTGGGCGTGGTAGCACGCGCCTGTAGTACTTGGAAGGCTGAGGCAGAAGGATCGCTGGAGCCCAGCAGGTCGAGGCTGCAGTGGCCGGGAGTGTGCCACTGCACTCCAGTCTGGCAACAGAATGAAACTCCAACTCAAAAAAGAAAAAAAAAAAAAAAGAAAAGAAAGTACACATTTACTACATAGTTTTACAGTAAGATTTTCTCACCGGAAAAAAAGTGAAACTGTAAAGCCATAGTTAGCTTCTAGAGAAGCTAAGAATCTAGTTATAGAAACTATACTAATACACTTAATAAAATTAGAGGACAGCATTCAGCACTCAGCTTTCAACCAGAGGAAAAGTCCTGAGAGATACAGGACTTAAAGGAGGAACAGGATTTAGGAATGTAAATGTGTAAAGAATGTATTATGGGACGGAAAAATACAACACAAAGCAGAGTGCAAATGAGTATGGTATATTCATAGGATAGTGAACAGACTTTTCACTAGAGCAAGACTGGATGAGACATTTTTTAATCGCTCATACTAGAGTTAGATTTAGATTCTAATCTTGGTTTTGTCACAGACTGTTGTTGAATGACCTGTTCACTTAATCTCCCTGATTTTCAGTTTTCTCATTTATAAAATTAGGAATGAAAGACAAGATTATCTTTAATAACCATTCAGTTCTAAAATTCAAATTCTAAGCACTTAGCATCTCCTATAAATTAAAAAAAATATTTAAAAGGTTTTATTTCAAAAGTTCAATATACCACAAGATATTCATTCCAAACGAATAGCTAAAATATTATCAGTTTTAAAGAAGTAAATCTTACCTTCACTCACTGTTCGTCCCATAATAGGTCTTTTTGGTGTTCTTTCCTACAATGAGAAAAAACAATTTACACCCTCTTTTAGCATTATACATTTCTGACAGGTGGTAGCATTACAAATCAGTTTATAAGGTCAGATCATTTTATCCTCTTTCCCTCAAATAAAAATAATAGATTAGTAGTTGCCTGGGGCTGGGGGAAGAGGGAATGAAGAATGACTGGTAAAGAGCACAGGTATGGGCTTTCCTTTCCTGGGTGACAAAAAATGTTCTAGAATTAGATAGTGGTAATGGTTGTACAACCTTGTGAACATACTGAAAAAAAACACTAAATTGTACACCTTAAAAAGGTGAGTTTTATGGTATATAAATTATATCTCAATTGTAAAAACTAAATGGGTAAGATAAAGCAGATGGTAGGTTAGCAAAGTTAGATTTCAAACTGAGGCCAATCCTAGAAGCCCACTTCTCTTGCCGAGAGGTAGAAGAATCACGACTGTGCTGAAGGAATTTATAAGAACTACAAGAGTCAAGTCTCCTAATAAGAATTACTTGCTAGGCCTGTTTATCTTGAACATAATTCATTAATTTAAACTTTTCCTGCCTGTTCTCAATATGCCAGGTACTCTACAGCAAAGATAAATAATAGGGTGTCCTTGACCTCCAAAGAGTCAGTCTAGTATAAGAAATACACATAAGAACAAAACACTATAAGTGCTATAAAAATAGGTATGTACTCATGTACTCCTAATATGGCAAAAGGATATCATTACTGTTTGGGCCTGTAGTAAGAACATGATGATGTGTGTAAGGAAAGGTAATTTGGCCATTTAAAGGAAGCCTGTGGAGAAAATATTCATAAAGCCACCCAGAGAGTCTTCTATACCTCTGACTCAACAAACTTACACTCAAGAATCACCTCCCTAAAATCTGCTTCTTCTGACATCTTTCTCTTACTAACACTACTGTTTTTCCAGGGAGTTGGTCTTAAAGCCCCAAGTACATTTATTCCTCTTCTTTCATTCACACATTCAATCAGCAGCCAACATGCCCTATCTCATTTCCCTTTCCCCTACCATTCACTGGTTTACACTATTTTTAGCTCCTTACTGATATAGTACCACAGCCACCTAACTTGTCTCACCACCAGTGTCTTCCCCTACCATAATCTACCTGATATACAATGTCAGATACAGTATCAGTTGTTTTCTGTCCAAATCACTCTCCTGCTTCAATAATTTCACTGTTTAATTGAGCAAGAAAAAGTTCTGTGTGGCATATTTAAGGATCCCCCACAATTTCAAAGCCACGTGACACTTACGGTCCACAGCTAAGCTCAAAAGGACTTTGTTTCAATGACACATCATTTTGTTCTTTCTACATAGATACTCTTTTCTCCTCTTCTGTTTCTTGATGTACTATCTTTATGCTTTAAGGCCTAACATAAATGTAACCTCCTTCCTGAAACCTTTCTTGTTACTTTCTCCATTACTAGCATCTGTTTCTAGATGTGATCTAGTCATTTATTTAACAAATATTTACAGAATTATTGTTTTTTGCTTAGTGCTATGTGGATAGAAAATACACAATCTACTACAAAAGTGCTGGAAATCTATTAACTGATCATTATTGAACAAAACAATACAATACAGGGTTTGAGAGAGGTAAAAGTAGTACTCTGTGGGAAGCTAAGAAGGCACTATTAACTGGGAATATAGAAGAAAGTAGCAATTGAATTCAAAGGAAGGGGCACTTGAATTAGTTCTTTAAAGATAAAAATTTCAATGAGCAGAGAAAAAAATGAAAGGAATTTTAAGCTGAAGATACAAAATGAGTGGAAACTAAAGTAACTCTGCTGCTGCACTGGATTATGAAATGTGGGAGTTGCTCAAGTTCCCTCTGGGCTCTCAACTCCCTCTACAGTCTATCTCAGGGACCATGAATTCAGGAGCTACCCAAACACAGATAACTCACAAAACACTACCTCCCCCAGACTTCATCTGTGAAAGTTAGACTGGAATAATCAAGTGGATTGACTGATAAGTCTGCTAGAATGTTGTCAATTAAGGACGATAGCCTAGTGGCTAAAGAAACAGACAAGACAGTAAAATATACAGAGGGTACTGAATTCAGCTAAGTAAGGGGAGATGCACTGTAATCCAGGTAGGGAGTGGAAGCACATATGAACTCAGAGAGCAAAATTCTGTGGGTTACATTAAAACGAGTCTCATTACTATACAAATAAGTTCAGCCCAATAAACTGAGGGATGGGTCACACATAGAAGATATACCCAGGTCTCCATGTCCTTGCAAATACCTAACCCATAGTTAAATTCCTAATCTCAATGGGGCAACTGCTTCCATTAGTTGATTAAGTGATTTTTGTAATCCTAGAAAGTGTAGAAATATGTATATAGATGATTAAAAATAAAACTTTGTGCCTGAGTCCGCGGTTTCGAGACCCGCCTGGGCAACTTGGCGAGACCTCATCTCTACAATAAATCCAAAAATTAGCCAGGAATGGTAGTGCGCGCCTGTAGTTCCAGCTACTTTGAAGGCTGAGATGGAAGAATCGCCAGAGCCCAGCAGGTCGAGGCTGCAGTGGCCGCTCCAGTCTGGGCAACAGAGTGAGATTCCAACTCAAAAAATAAAAAATAAAAATAAAACTTTGAAGAAGACCTTAATAAATAATCCATGTACCATATTCATAAGTTGGAAGACTCAATATTTTTAAGACGTCAATTCTCCCCAAATTGACCAACACAACCAACATATGATAAAATCCCCACAGGTTTTTGGTTTCTTTTTTTTTTGGTAGAAAGTAACAAGCTGATTTTAAGATGTATATGAAAATGTAAAAGACCAGAATACTTAAAACACTGAAAAAGAACAAAGCTGAAGAACTTACATCATCTCATTTCAACAAGCAACAGTAATCAAAACTGTGTGATACTGGTATAGGGAATACAAATTATTATCAGTAGAAATAGAATAGAGTTCAGAAATAGACCCACAAATATACAGTCAATTGATTTTCAACTCAGGGACCAAGGCAATCCAATAGGAAAAAGAAATGTATATTTAAAAGACTGTATATAGATGATTAAAAATAAAACTTTGAAGAAGACCTCAATAAATAATCCATGTGCCATATTCATAAGTTGGAAGACTCAATATTTTTAAGATATCAATTCTCCCCAAATTGACCAATAAAAGAATGGTCCTGTTATTTAAAAGTAGACTTGAATCATTATAAATGTATATTGCAAACTCTAGGGCAACCACAAAAAAAGTTTTCTAAAAAAGTATAATTTATATGCTAACTAAGGAGATAACATAAAATCAAATAAAATGCTCAATTAAAACCATAAAAGGCAGAAAAAAGAATAGACGACAAAAACAGTAACAGAGAACAAAAACAAATAAATAAATAAAAATAAATAGAAAACAGTAAGAAATATTTAAGATATTAATTCAACCATATTAAGAGTCACTTCAAACATCATGGTATAAAATACAATAATTAGCCGGGTTCGGTGGCTCAGCCTGTAATCCCATGCCTTTGGGAGGCTGAGGTGAATGGATTGCCTGAGCCCGCGGGTTCGAGACCCGCCTGGGCAGCAAGACATCATCTCTACAATAAATCAAAAAATCAGCCGGGCATGGTAGCGCGCACCTATAATTTCAGCTACTTGGAAGGCTGAGGCGGAAGGATCACCGGAGCCCAGCAGGTCGAGGCTGCGGTGGCCGGGAGCGGCCACTGCACTCCAGTCTGGGTGACAGTGTGAGACTCCAACTCAAAAAATAAATAAATAAAAATAAATAAATAAATACAATAATTAAAAGACAAAAGTAGTCAAAGTAGATTAAAAAAACAAGAAGACTCAACTGTATGTTGGCTACAAGAAACCCACGTTAAATATAAAGACACATATAAACTAAAAGCAAAATGATGAAGAAATGCCACGCTAATACTAATCAAAAGACAGGAGTAGCTTATTAATTTCAGAGTAGACCTCAGAACAAGAAAAGTTGTCAGGGATAAAGGACATTACATAATGACAAATGGGTCAATACTATAAGAAGGCATAATAATTCTGAATGTGTATATGCCTAACAAGAGAGTATCAAAATATGGCAGAAACTGATATAACTGTAAGGAGAAATAGATAAATATGCTATTATAGTTGTAGACTTCATCACCCCTCTGTCAGAAATGGGCAAATAAACAGGCAGAAAATCAGTAAGGACATAGTTGAACTCAATACTACCATCAATCAGCTAGATATAATTGTATCTAGAGACAATTTCATTCAACAACAGCAAACTACACATTCTTCTCAAGCCCACATGGAACATTCATCAAGATATACTACATTCAGGACCATAAAACATATCTTAGCAAACAATAAAAAATAGAAACCATACAATGTCTACTCTCAGACTACAATGGAATTAAACTAGAAATCAATAATAAAAGGATAGCTTGAAAAATCCCCTCAAATACGTGGGGATTAACAACACACTTTAAAATAATACATGGGTCAAAGAAGAAATCTCAAGAGAATTGTTTTTAATTTGAACTAAATGAAAGTGAAAATACAACTTATCAAAATGTGTCTGATGCCATGAAAGCAGTGCTTAAAGGAAAATTTATAGCATTGAGTGCATATATTTAGAAAAGGAGAAAGACTTCAGATCAATAATCTAAGTTGCTACCTTAGGAAACTAGAAAAAGAAAAACAAATTAAATCCAAAGTAAGTAGGGAAAAAAGAATAATACAAATTAGAGCAAAAATCAATGCAATAGAAAAGTAGAAAATCAATAGAGAAAATCAACAAAACCAAAAGTTGGCTTTTTGATAAGATCAATAATTTGATAATTATTCAATAATTGTGATCTTGGGTTAGGCAATGATTTCTTAGATATGACACAAAAAAGCACAAAGCATAAAAGAAAAAATTGGTAAATTGGACTTCATCAAAACTAACAACAGCTTTAAAAACGACACTGTTAAAAAAATAAAAAGACAAGTCACAGAATGGGAGA